ATAACATTTAATTTCTTGTCAACTCTTTGCCCTAGAACAACACCTACAGCATAATCACTAGCATCACACATAATTTCAAAGGGTAAATTCCAATCAGGTGGTTGAACAATAGGTGCAGAGACTGGTGCTTTCTTAAGTATTTCAAATGCTTCTACACAATCATCATCAAAGACAAATGGTATATCTTTTTGTAATAAATTAGTCAGAGGCCGAGAAATTTTTGAGAAGTCCTTAATGAACCTCCTATAAAATCCGGCGTGACCAAGGAAACTTCTTATACCTTTGATGTCCTTGGGACATGTCATCTTTTCAATAGCATCAACCTTGGCTTTATCAACTTCAATACCTCTTTCAGAAACTTTACGCCCCAAGACAATACCCTCATTAACCATAAAGTGGCACTTTTCCCAATTCAAGACAAGATTAGTTTCTTCACATCTCTGCAAAACTCGATCAAGATTGCTCAAGCAATCATCAAAAGAAGATCCATAGATGGAAAAGTTGTCCATGAAAACCTCACAAATCTTTTCACAAAAGTCAGAGAATATAGCCATCATGCATCTTTGAAAGGTAGTAGGTGCATTACATAAACCAAAAGGCATACGTCTATAAGCAAAAGTACCAAAAGGGCATGTAAAAGTAGTCTTTGATTGATCTTTAGCTGACACAGGTATTTGAGAGAAACCAGAATAACCATCTAGAAAGCAGTAATGTGTATGTTTGCATAATCTTTCTAGCATTTGATCGATAAAAGGTAAGGGGTAATGATCTTTCTTAGTAGCCTTATTTAATTTGCGGAAATCAATTACCATCCTATAACCAATAATAATTCTTTGTGGAATCAATTCATCTTTATCATTAGGAACAACAGTAATACCTCCCTTCTTAGGGACACAATGAACATGACTTACCCACTGACTATCAACAACGGGATAAATTATACCTGCCTCCAGAAGCTTTAATATTTCTTTCTTACCACTTCTTTCATTTTAGGATTTAGACGTCATTGAGGATCACGAACTGGTTTGGCATCTGCCTCCAAATTTATTTTATGTTGACATAGAGTGGGACTAATGCCCTTAAGATCATCAAGAGTATATCCAATAGCAGCGCGGTGCTTCTTCAGAGTTTTCAATAATCTATCTTCTTCATGCTCTGAAAGGTTAGCACTAATAATAACAGGATATATCTTATTTTCATCAAGATAAGTATATTTAAGATTATCAGGTAATAGTTTAAGCTCAAACACGCGATCACCCTTAGGTGGAGGGGGATCCCCTAGGATTTCAACAGGCAAATTGTGTTTCAGAATAGGTTCCTGTTTAAAGAATACTTCATCTATTTCCCTTCTTTCATTCATAAACATATCATTCTCATGGTCTAGCAAATATTGTTCTAAAGGATCACTAGGAGGTACGACAATAGAAGCAAGACCAATAATTTCATCCTTACTAGGCAATTCTTCTTCACGGTGTTGTTTACTAAATTTAGAGAAATTAAATTCATGAGTCATATCATCCAAGCCAATAGTAACAACATTCTTTTCGCAGTCTATCTTAGCATTAACAGTGTTCAAGAAGGGTCTACCAAATATAATGGGACAAAAGCTATCTTGTGGGAACTAAGAACAAGAAAATCAGCAGGATATTTAGTTTTCCCGCACAAGACTTCAACATCTCTAACAATTCCCACTGCTGAAATAGTATCTCTATTAGCAAGTTTAATTGTGACATCAATATCTTCTAACTCAGCAGGTGCAATTTCATGCTTGATTTCTTTATACGAGTCATAAGGTATAACACTAGCACTAGCACCCATATCACATAAGCCATGATAACAATGTTCTCCTATTTTAACAGAAATAACAGGCACGCCTACCACAGGTCTATGTTTACCTTTAGCACAAGGTTTAGCAATTCTAGCAGTTTCACCATAGAACTAAATAACATGCCCATCAATATTATCAGACAAGAGATCTTTAACAATAGCAATATTAGGTTCTACTTTAACTTGCTCAGGAGGTGTATATGTTTTAATATTGCTTTTATGAACCACAGTTGAAGCTTTAGCATGATCCTTTATCCTAACAGGGAAAGGTGGTTTCTCAACATAACAAGTAGGAACAATAGGATCATTATAAGTGACAGTCTTTTCTTCAACTTTAATTGGTGCAACTACTTTTACTTCTATGGGAGGATGATATTTAAACCACTTCTACTTAGGGAGATCAACAAAAGTAGCAAAAGATTCACAGAAAGAAGCTACTATCTCAGAATCAAGTCCATATTTAGTGCTAAACTTACGGAAAATATCGGTATCCATAAACGATTTAACACAATCAAACTTAGGTGTCATACCTGACTCCTTACCTTTGTCGAGATCCCAATCTTCAGAGTTGCGTTTAATTCTATCCAATAAATCCCATCTAAATCCAATAGTCTTCATCATAAAAGAGCCACCACAAGAAGTATCGAGCATGGTGCGATTATTTTCAGAAAGCCGAGCATAAATTTTTTGAAGAATTGTTTCTCTTGGGAGCTCATGATTGGGGCATGAATATAACATTGATTTAAGCCTCCCCCAAGCTTGAGCGATGCTTTCTCCTTCATGAGGCCAAAAATTATATATACTAGTCGTCAACCCGTGCAGATGCACGGGCTATCCACTCTAGGTTACACTTAAGCACAATAAAGTTTATATTATTATAATTAAATATTCATTTGCAAAGTTATTTTGAATTTAAATACATCATGAATTTTGGATTGTAAATATAAAATAATATATTTTTGGGGGATGTATATCATTGAGAAATGTTGGTAGATAAGAGAAGAGGCTGATAAAAATCATTAGATGTAATGTGTCGCTTTATAGCTGATAGTGGCACTATTGCAAGGTAAGCATGTAGAGATTACATATAACATATAGAATTTCCAAGTTACCAATTAAAGTGTTCATGCACCCATGCCTACCATGATGCTTTCAATAATGATTTCTATTGACTTACTCTCCACATTACAGTTTTATGAGCTACAAAATTTGGAGGAACCAAACTGTTTATTTCAGAACTGTTTTTCTATGACAACAATGTACGTGAAAGGAAAGGTTGTGAGAGGCGAGATTATATGGATTCGGTTTGTAGTTTTGGGAAAATGTTGTTGATAAGGGGCATGAAAGTAATTAAGAATGGGTGAAATCTTAATTAACAACATGAAGGCAGACAGGTGAGAATAACATAGTTATCGAGTACAACAACAAAACCATAATTACACCCACAAACAAAAATAGACTGATAAATCAACGTGTTTGTATACATCATGTTTTGCAAGCAGCGGCTTTGCATATTTGGTTTAGCATGCATTGATCATGTTTTGGGGTTGTCATGTTGGATGCAGCAAAATCTGGGTAGCAAAGAAATAAGCCATGGATACTGTCAATACATTTTTCTTGCTTGTAATTTAAAAGCACCCTCGTTTTTTTATTTTGCTTGGAATGCCATAAAAATGGGTAGGAAAAAAAGGACGTAAGTGAAAAACATAAGGGAATATAGATGTAGACCTTGGTCCAGCAATTCAATCTTGCTCCAGCAAGGCATACTACAAAATGACGTTTCTCACATTCCTAAGTCTAGTTAGTAAAGAACATCAGGAGGCACGGGAAATTAAGTGTTGGAGCTAACTGAGATATATATTACATAGTGGCCTTGTCCCTTCCGGACTTGGACAATCACGGGCGTGTGCTCTGTTTTTCTGGCCGGTAGATCCAATAGTAAATAATCCTTGTTTGGTGCGTCCTCCATGAATCAATCAAGGTGCTTTAATCCTTATGGCAGAAAGAAGTCCTCCCAGAGCAACCTAACTGGTACTGTAGCAATTACTTGGTTCTTGCACAAATGCGTCAGACAATACAAACTGCACAAAATTCTCTTCAAGAATCAAGGATATATCTACTAAAAAGCAAATAAATTAAGATCCAATACAAAAACTTCAATGCTAGTACTTTACCCTGATCAATCCTTTCTTATCACCATGCTTTTTATGCTTCCGCAGCCACATGTAATCTCCATTGACAATCATCGCTCATCGGCATGAACTAGCACTTCTCTGTGCGCCAATGCATCCTCTGGTTGGTGCCAGCGCTCACCGGCCAACCTGCAACTGTTACCAGATAGATCAATCATAAGAACATAAGCATCATAGACGATAATCGTCAACCCATCTATTTGCAAGTCCTAGCATTTTGTACAACACCTAAAGATAAAGGTACTAAAATCATTTATTATATACACAATATTTAGATATATAAACTAAATTATTATATCAGTCTCTTGAACCAATCGAAAGGAAACATGCAAATTTCGGTTTACTTAAGAAGAATGTAAATTTTGTCATACTAAATGCTAAGAAAAATGATCCAAATTCAGAGGTACATCAAATCACAATTATAGTAATGAAAGAAAACACACAAAAGGCATTTTTATCTCTTCCCAAAATAGGATAAAAAATTAATGAACAATTAGAATTTTCAATGGTTCATAGATGAATACACTGTACCACAAAGAGTCTTAAATTGTATATTGTGTTACCTAACTTATTTAGATTGGCAAATAATCCAAAAAAATAACAAAAAAATATTAGTACAGAAAAATGTAACATAAAACATGAAATGTAAGAACCGAATAGAGGAACAAACATTTTGTGGCCACTGGATTGTAAAAAGAATGGACACTAAAGTTACTATAAATTTTTAACTTTTCTATAAGGTGAGGTAGTAATAAGCCAAAAAAATATGACATCTCATTTCTTTTGGTGCATTCACCTCAATTATTTTCTTATGCTTGTTTTTTGCATAAAATATAAGGCATGTGTGTAGTCAGATGACTGAACTATTGGACTCTATGTGCATCCTTTTTGTGAGCTTATACGACTAAAAATCAGGAAGAGATTGCAAACATGGAAATCATAGAAACTTACATTTAGTTTTGTATTTAGTTATTAATCGATATGATTTTCCATTTATCCCACTACCAAGACCCGAGCTTGCATTACTCATTACTCAGTGCCCTGCATATTTTGTGAAAGGCTCTTAGTTGAGATATTCCATGTCCAAAAAATACAATTTATTTAATGCGTTCATAATTCTGAATCAGGTACAAAAAGAAGCAGACAAATATTACTTATGTCTTATAAGTTTGATACATGTATGCCACCTAATAAATTTTCCCAAAAAGGAAAGCTGAGAGGTCCTATGCAGCACCATCATGTGTTTCTTCTTTCTATTTTAGAGACAACCTAAGATTTCACTACTGATAAGGAGAATCTCCTTACTAAGGAAATTACCAGGTCATACCATGGGCATAAGAATTGTTCTTCGGAATTTCATCACCATATTAAAAAAGTTTTGAAGGAGAGGTCTGTAAAAACAATCATCCATTAATGAGTGCGAGCACTACTAAGACAACTATAGCACACAATAACCAACAATCTATATAGAATCCGGTCACTTTGAAAAGTTAAAATGATTTATATAATATATTAGAGAATTGTGCCAGCTAGACCACTGATCATGAAGTAAAATATTTAGAGAAATATATTTACAAAAGACAACTATAATTGGTACAAAATTTGGAAGGGTAGTCACTGAAAAGAAATTCCTTTCTAACTGAATACAACACTGATCAAATTATACCATTGATAGTAACTTGTGTAAGATAATATTACGTACGACAAAATCACTGGATAGAGGACTCCCTCGGTATTAATGTATTAATCGTTGCTCAAGAACACATAATTGAAGTACTGTAACGAATGGCCCAAATGAAATTTTATATATGTCAGCAAATACAAACTACAAAAGGGCATGTTATTTAATACACCACAAAATAATTTGAGCAAATTCGATCGTAGCAGGTCTGAACATGCAAGATTAGCATCACAAATCATAGCTTCTATAACATCAGAGTCCATAGCATCAGAGGCCGTACCTTTCGAAGTGTGTGAGTTTCTCATTCCAGCACACATACATTGTCATGTACCAGCTGTTTGTAGAGCTCATCCCAATGAGAATTTGTATCTTCTTTAGTTATTATGTCTCTTAACAGTTAGGATAGCATTATAACTAAGTTGATGAGTTGTTAGGTTTTTGGTTGGTGATGTCTCTTGTTAGATTTAACCTGGAATAAAAAAATTATAATCTAGAAGTTACTCATCTGTTGGCTTTACTCAACAACTTTTTAATTAGAAGGAGCTCCTAACATAGAGCATCTACAAACATAAATTATATTCCATGGCATATGGATTTGCTATTAACGTATTGATTTGTATCTATATGTTTACAACAAATCAAAATCAAATGGAAGCATCGTACATCATTATTCCAAGGAAATAAGCTAAGAGCATGCATCTTCATTCTTCAATAGAGTTCTGCTCGGTGTTCAGTGCATATAATAATTTAGTGCTACAATTGGTATTCCTCCAGATTATGCTTTTTCATACAGCAAATTGGCACCTCATCTCCATAGGAGCTGTGAAATCTTTACTTTGGTCTCTCTTTCCCCTGTTTGCAAATCAATTTATGTTTCACCCCATCTTCATAGTAGAAGTAAAGGGACACGATTAGCTGATGATATTCAAATCCAGATAAACTCTGTTTGCACCTACAGATGACAACGACTACTCTGTATGCACCTATAGATAACATCGACTACTCTGTATGCACCTGATATTAACTTTCCTATAAAATAAATATATGCATATAACAATACTTACATCCTTTTAATATGAAATACACAAAAATCAAATATCAGACAGTTGTTGATGTTACTATGACAACACGACAGAAAGAATCCACATTAATATTGTTGACCTTCTCACCCCGTTGTCTAAAATTAAAATTTTCTATCTTGTATATTCCAAGAGTTGTAAATATTAGGAATCACGGTATTTGTACTCATTTAATTCCTTTTGATGTACTCGCTCAATCTGAATCACAGTATCTTCAATCTTTGAGATCCCATCAGTTGTCTATTTTTCCTCAGACGGTTTGCTAACTTGCATTAACCAGTTTATCACGGCATATGATTACACCAATGAATACTAACCTGTCTGACGTCCTAGCTCACTTTTATGCATGCATCCATGACGTACATGATGTATATGCTATGCCATGGACCTGAGCATGTAGTCTGCGATCGAAGCAGCTTCTTGGATGCCACACATACTGGGCTACATGCGATGGGGTTACTCCCGCTTCTCCGGCATCTCTTGTGCAAGGGCTGCCTATACTCCCATGAGAGATGTGGCCGGGAAACCAGGCTAGGGCGTTAGACGACTTGTGAATCCCGAGGTAGTCGCATATAGTCAAGAGATATATTAATTATAAGTACACCTGATGGGCATAGTTGTGCTCCGGTCCGATCTCCATAAGGCATCCAGAAATTGTACTTCAAAAGATTGAGGGTTTGATCCAAATCGTGATTAGGATGAATTCGAGGAAAACCTGATCAAAATAGAGATGCAAAACAATTAAATCCGAATCCAAATTAATATTTTGGATAACAAATCAGCAAAAAAATTGCAAAATAGATTGAGGAACGAACCTGATCCAGAAATTGTACTTCAAAAGATTGAGGATTTGATCCAAATCGTGATTAGGGTGAATTCGAGGACAACCTGATCAAAATAGAGATGCAAAACTATTAAATCTAAATCCAAATTAATATTTTGGATGATAAATTAGCAAAAAAATGCAAAATAGATTGAGGAACGAACCTGATCTAGATCAGGAACGCTAGATCCATGGCCCCGTATGTTTTTTAGATCCATCGCCGCGCTTGCTCTGTATTAGTTTGGTTTCTAGGGTAGAGAGATTTGAGAGGGAAAGATTGGAGAGGAAGGGACCGTGGACAAGATATTTGGTTTTCCATGGGGGAAAGAGATGGATGGATGGAATACTTTCCATCGTGGGGAGAGGGAAAAAAGGAAGGGACGGTAGAATACTTTTCATATTGAGATTAGAATCTGATTATTCTGTCATCTATTGTTTTTTCTTTTGTTAGCTAATCTAAACCGTTATAACTCAGCCCCACAAGATAGACGACTCCTAATTTCTGATTAACATGGTAATTACTTGGGAGTCTGTAATTAGTATAGGTATAGATATAATTGCGGTCACGATGAACAAGATGCATAGGGTAATACTTTTGATGAAATTCCAATTTCAATCTTCTATAGTTCCATGATCTCGTATCATCACATAGCCTATACCATGTCAATGCATCTCCCTTCAAAGATAAAGGGAAGACCTTCTTCTTAGCAACATCATCGGGTATACCTGCAAGCTTAAATAATCCACAAACTTCATCCACATATATTAGGTGTTCATCAGGATGCTTTGTTCCATCTCCTGTAAAAGGATTAGCTAGCAGTTTTTCTATCATACCCGAAGGATACTCATAATGAATTTCATTTTCAATAGGTTCAGTAGGTTGAGGAGCAACTCTTTGCTCTACTGGTCGGGGTGAAGATACCCTGAACAAGCCCCTCAGAGGATTACTTTCCATAGTAACAAGTGACAGTAAATTTCAACACACTATATAAATTTTTCCTTACCAAATTCCACCTACCAAAGGCGCTTCACTCCCCAGTAATAGCGCCAGAAAAGAGTCTTGATGACCCACAAGTATAGGGGATCTATCGTAGTCCTTTCGATAAGTAAGAGTGTCGAACCCAACGAGGAGCAGAAGGAAATGATAAGCGGTTTTCAGCAAGGTATTCTCTGCAAGTACTGAAATAAGTGGTAACAGAGAGTTTTGTGATAAGATAATTTCTAACGACCAACAAGTAACAAAAGTAAATAAAGTGCAGCAAGGTGGCCCAATCCTTTTTGTAGCAAAGGACAAGCCTGGACAAACTCTTATATAAGGAAAAGCGCTCCCGAGGACACATGGGAATATCGTCAAGCTAGTTTTCATCATGTTCATATGATTCGTGTTCGGTACATTGATAATTTGACATGTGGGTGGACCGGTGCTTGGGTGCTGTTCTTAATTGAACAAGCATCCCACTTATGATTAACCTCTATTGCAAGCATCCGCAACTACAACAAAAGTATTAAGGTAAACCTAACCATAGCATGAAACATATGGATCCAAATCAGCCCCTTACGAAGCAACGCATAAACTAGGGTTTAAGCTTCTGTCACTCTAGCAACCCATCATCTACTTATTACTTCCCAATGCCTTCCTCTAGGCCCAAATAAAGGTGAAGTGTTATGTAGTCGACGTTCACATAACACCACTAGAGGCTAGACAACATACATCTCATGAAAATATCGAACGAATACCAAATTCACATGACTACTAAGAGCAAGACTTCTCCCTTGTCCTCAGGAACAAACATAACTAATCACAAAGCATATTCATGTTCATAATCAGAGGGGTAATAATATGCATAAAGGATCTGAACATATGATCTTCCACCAATTAAACCAACTAGCATCAACTACAAGGAGTAATTAACACTACTAGCAACCTACTAGCACCAATCCCGGACTTGGAGACAATAATTGGATACAAGAGATGAACTGGGGTTTTGAGATGAGATGGTGCTGATGAAGATGTTGATGGAGATTGCCCTCTCCCGATGAGAGGAGCACTGGTGATGACGATGGCGATGATTTCCCCACCCGGGAGGGAAGTTTCCCCGGCAGAACAGCTCTGCCGGAGCCCTAGATTGGTTCCGCCAAGGTTCCGCCTCGTGGTAGCGGAGTTTTGTCCCGAAAGGTTGCTTCTTGTTTTTTCTCGATGAAAGACTTCATATAGCAGAAGATGGTCATCGAAGAGCCACTAGGGGGCCCATGAGGTAGGGGGCGCACCCTAGGGGGGTGCACCCCACCCTCGTGGAAAGGGTGTGGGTCCCCTGGTCTTCATCTTTGGCGAGGATTTTTCATTATTTATTATAAGGTATTCCGTGGAGTTTCAGGACTTTTGGAGTTGTGCAGAATAGGTCTCTAATATTTGCTCCTTTTCCCGCCCAGAATTCCAGCTGCCGGCATTCTCCCTCCTTATGTAATCCTTGTAAAATAAGAGAGAATAGCCATAAGTATTGTGACATAATGTGAAATAACAACCCATAATGCAATGAATATCGATATAAAAGCAAGATGCAAAATGGACGTATCAACTCCCCCAAGCTTAGACCTCGCTTGTCCTCAAGCGAAAGCCGATAATAATAAATATGTCCCCATGTTTAGAGGTAGAGGCGTCGATAAAAATAAAATACGGACACGAGGGCATCATGATTATTCTCATAACAGCAACATACATAGATATTGTCATATGATTACTTATGTTCAAGTGATGATCTATTCGCAATGCAAAAGTATGAATCAGAAACCTTATTGAGAACCAAAAAACTATAACCTCAGTCATTGAAAAGCATGATGCAAAATGGACGTATCAACAACTCGTTGCATATTGAGCTCCACTTAACTTGTAGTTTTGTTTGTTGCACTTTGCCATGCCATGCCTCATTAAACCGGACATTCATCATACTTTATTGTGCATCATGCCATGATTAAGCTTGTTGGTTTACCGTGTTGTTTTCTTCTGTCCCGTTGTGCTTCCTCTCAATAGTTTCGGAGATGTTACGAATGTGAGGATTCGTTCGACTATGCCCGTTCGTCTTTTTCATGGATTCGATCTTCTTCCTAGCGGGATTTCAGGCAAGATGACCGTTACCTTGGATCTCACTACTATCTTTGCTATGGTAGTTGTCTCGATGCTATCACTATGTCACGCTACCTACCCCTTGTTTATCAAGCCTCTCAATTTGCCATGTTAGCCTCTAACCTTTTCCACCATCCTAGCAAACCATTGTTTGGCTATGTTACCGCTTTGCTCTGCCCCTCTTATAGCATTGCTAGTTGCAGGTTGTTCCATGTTGGGACATGGATATCATGGGATATCACAATATCTGTTATTTAATTAATGCATCTATATACTTGGTAAAGGGTGGAAGGCTCGCCTTTTGCCTGGTGTTTTGTTCCACTCTTCTTGCCCTAGTTTCTGTTATACCGGTGTT